CCCCTGGATTGAAACAGGGGTCAAGTGTTTCCTGGTCTTCCTGAAGTCCACGATCAGTTCCTTGGTTCCTTGATTAGTGTGCCTCCACATTAAAACCCAAATTTTCTGCATTATAAACGAATTTACTTTGAAAATAAAGGCATGTGGTTTGTCTCCTCAGGTGTCTCCATGGAAAGCTCCTCCTCCATCAGTCCTACTCCTCCAGGCTCCGCCCCCTCCTCTGCTCTCCTCTACCCAGATCAGTCGCCCCTCCCTCCTCCTCTCCCACTGCTCCACCTGCCATATGAAGCTCCACCCCCAAGCACCTACCTGACTACAGCCCCTGCACCTCCTCTTCCACATCCCGCCCACCACCCTCACCACTCTTCCTACCACCCATGCCTCCCTTCCTCTGTCCACTGGGGGCCAATATCGACTGGAGGCCACGCTCCACGACTCTACTGCCCTGCCCCCAACCCTTCTCACGTTGTTGGATACATTGCTGCCCCGCCCCCTCACCACACAGCCACACACTACATCCCACCCACTATGTAACGTGCATATTAGCTCAAGGCTAAAACCCCTTTTGTTTTGAATTAGTGGTAACATTATTATGAACACTTTTCCTGCAGCAAGACTTTCAAACTTAAAGTTAGAATTTAAAGGTAAATATTGGCTGGATGTTAATGGATGTTGCTGTTGGTTAAAATTCATGTTGTGAGGTGGTGGGTGTGACCAGTCCCTATTTGTGGAGGGATCTCTTTGTGTTGATGTTTTGTTTTTTGGGTTTTGGGTGAATAAAGTTTGTTTCACCAGCAAATGGCGTTTTTGCTTCATCTGGTCACATGACTATTGTCCAATTAACAGTCCCAAACATCAACTTCCTGTTTTTTATGCTTTGAGCAAACAGGAAGTAAAATAATAAAGCCAGAAAGGTGCGATTCTCCACAGGGCGTGAGAGGCGGGGATCAGAGGGGTTACAGATGATAGGTCGTCATCTCTGGCGAGAGATCAAAATCAAAGGCATTTTTTTTTCCATTACAGCTGCTGTGACACTGAAGTTCAGTAAGTAATCTGATTACACTGAGACACAGGTTGATGGATGTTTGAACGACTACTTTGTCCAGACCTGTGATGAGCAGCGAAGCCTGAGACGACTCCTGTGCGAACGTTACCGTTTTTCAGCACAATCTATAAGTTATTTGACTAACATCCTCAGGCCATATATTGCTCATGTGACA